AAATTGTTTGCAAAAATAATTGCTATATGAAAACTAAAGTTCTAGGCTGATTGTGGTGGCTCATGCCTGTAATTCCAGCACTTTCAGAAACTGAGGTGGGAGGACTGCTTGAGCCTAGGCGTTTGAGACCAGCCTGGGCAACATGGTGAGACCTTTTTAAAATTAAAAAAAAAAAAATAGCCAAGTGTGTTGGCATGTAGTCCCAGCTACTCAGGATTCTGAGATGGAAGGATCTCCTGAGCCTAGAAAGTCGAGGCTGTGGTGAACTGTGATGGTGCCATTGTACTCTAACCTGAGTGACACAGTGAGACCCTGACAGAAAATAAAGTAAAACAAAATGAGTTCTGGTTTATTTTTCCACCAATTTCATGCAGGAAAACCAAAAAATGCTGACAGTTTTACACTTAATAAGCAGAATAAGTGATGACAGGATAGTGCTCTGAAAGATTTTAGAAAACTAAAAGTTTTTAGAGAAACGTAAGAAACATCAATTTTAAATCTCGTCTAAACACTGCCCAGAAGAACAGGCCCATTAAGAAATTTTCAAGGGGAAATTTCACTTATAGTCTCCATAAGCATTTTAAAAACAAGTTAAACAATCAATTGATATGAATTTATGTGAGTATTGTTGAGATCATATATCGTACGATCGCCCAAGACATTTCCTTTGAAAAATAATTCAAACATACATGTTATGTAATGAGTAACTGGATAAGAAACAACAACTTCATAAAATGTGACAATTAAAAGTTGGGGGATGGAGTTGCAAAAAGTGAGGAAATGGAATTAAATAACTTCTGAAACCACTTTTAGAATACTTCCGAGGAGCTTAGCTTTTCTTCAAGTTTTTCCTCAAAGTTTACCATTTCTGACATTAAAAATGACCCTTGTAAAAACAAAACAAAACATCTGATCTCACAGTTCGGATTAGGTTTAGGGATACAATTTTTAGAACACAAATACATGTAGTTAACTGGTAATATAAACTTCAAATTATATTTGTATCTGGAGAATGCCTTGCACTAACAGCTGGTCAATTTTTGAAAAAGTTATGTGAGCCGCAACGTTTTAGGCGTCTCATATAGAAAATGTGTATAAAAATGGTCCTTGTAGGGCTGGGCACGGTGGCTTATGCCTGTAATCCCAAAACTTTGGGAACCTGAGGTGGGAGGATTTCTTGAGCCCGGAATTAGAGACCAGCCTGGGCACAATAGTGAGATTTTGTCTCTACAAAAGTCAAAAAATTAGCCAGTTATAGTGGCATGTGCCTGTAGTCCCAGTCACTCAGGAGGCTGAGGTGAAAGGATCACTTGAGCCCAGGAGTTTGAGGCTATCATGAGCCATGATCGTGCCACTATACTCTAGCCTGGGTGATAAAATGAGCCCCCAATTCCTAAAAGAAAAAAAAAAAGGTCCTTGTAGGGTTGGTATCTATTAGGTTAAGTTTGTTACTGTAATATGCATATTACAAATATTATCTCATTAAAATTTAACAGTAATCTTCTGAAGTATTATTTTTTCCACTTTACAACTGAAGAAATCAAGACTAAAAGACTGAACCACTTGCCCACTCTCAAATAAATTACAGAGAGAATTCAAACCCAGGTCCTTCAGACTGTCAAACTCATGTTTGGAAGCGTCAGAAGAGGATTTCTATATATCCAAAAGAAGCATGTTTGCCTTTTATCTTCCAACACCAGATCTTTAGATGTACAGGACAGTTATACACAGGAGAAGTAAAACAGATTCCTTTATATAAAAATTCCAAAAGTGTGATTTTTTTCATTGATTAGAACACAGTTAAAGTCAGAGCAAACAGAGTCAGTCTGCTAAGAACAGATGGTAACAACAAAGAGACTTTGGTTCTATAGACTTAGGATTCGTTTTTGACCTCAACATACTTATAATAAGCTGAAGTTTTCTGTATGGAGACACAAAAGAAGACCCATCATAAAATGGCAAGAAGATTTCACTAAAGAAAAATTCTTTGAAGAATGTCTATGTAATTTACTAAAGAAAAACACCCAGCTGAAACTGTGGGGAGTAAGATGAACAGCCTCTATTAATGCTAATTGAAGTTCTCCTATCCACACATACCATGCATAAAATTTACTTCTGTACTTATTCTTTCCACCTTTAAACTGCAATAAGTCCATGCTAAAGTACTAGGTTTTTAATTTTGAGCATTCATGCATGAAAATGGATAAGTTTTTGTGATTACGCTGATAAATTTAATACAGGTGAAATCTTACTATGTGTTAAATAATAAGTCTTAATTGCTTTTGTTTAAAAAGAGTGAAAATTGAATCTCCGGCTTACGTTAGGAATTCATTTTAAAAGCTGAAGTGCATTGCTTCTCAGTTTGCCATCCTTTTAGCAAAAATTGGCAGTAGTATGTTTTGGGCAAGATAGCCTATATTTTAACTCCCATAAGCAAACTAACAAACAAATAAAATAAAATGAGGGTATAATTTTCCTTATGTCCACATTTACAATGAACTTCCCTTTCTCTATGTATGTATGTAAACACATACACATTATTCATAAGTTTACCGATGCATGCTGGAAATAGTTTTTTGGCAAGTCTTTAAATACATGATACTATGATATCATTTTACTCTTTAAGAATACTTTATGAAATCAGAGTTAAGAATTTGCTTTAGCTTATCAGATCAAAACCTGGGATGCTAATTAATTTTAGCCTTACCTATTATTCCATATAAAAATAATGTTTAGTCTGTTAAATAAATATAATTTGAAATATTGTGACTGCCCCTGATTCACTCATTAAACTCGAAAAACTATGAGTTATTCTTTTGAGGCAATTAAATATTACTTCTGGTTTCAAGTAAGAGTCAAAAAGGCTTAGAACCATCCACAGAGTTTTCACTAACAAAACATAAATTCTAGTTTAAGAATATCACAGCTGCCGGGCTCGGTAGCTCAGCCTGTAATCCCGCGCCTTGGGAGGCTGAGGTGAGTGGATTGCCTGAGCCCGAGGGTTCAAGACCCGCCTGGGCAGGCGAGACCTCATCTCTACAATAAATCAAAAATCAGCCGGCCTGTAGTTCCAGCTACTTGAAAGGCTGAGGCAGAAGGATCGCCAGAGCCCAGCAGCTCAAGGCTGCGGTGGCCGGGAGCGGCCACTGTGCTCCAGTCTGGGCGACAGAGTGAGACTCCAACTCAAAAAAAAAAAAGAATATCACAACTCTGAAAAAATAGTCTTCCCAGCAATCTCCAGATGATTGATTCTCGCTCAGCTTTTAAATTGCAGAGTGTATTGGTTTAAAATAAAAGCAACCTTACCTGTACAGCAGTAAACCAAATAACGCAGTTGTTTTAGAAGATATTTTGAAGAATTAGTAAGAAGAAATTGCTTTTGTTGCTATTGCATATTTAGGCCTTTCCTTTGATTAAAGCCAATTCAACATAATATCAGCATTGCCAATTACAGGAAAAAGTGCTGTTACTCTGACTGAAGCCTCTCGGGTGTTAGAGAAAATGCTACCCAGTTTTTCATTTTATCTGAATAAGAAGTGGAAAATCTTTATTCGTTCAACAAGAGTTACTGAGTCTTATTTATTTATTTGTTTTTGTTTTTTTGAGTTGGAGTCTCACTCTGTCGCCTAGACTGGAGTGCAGTGGCTGCTCCCGGCCACCGCAGCCTCGACCTGCTGGGCTCTGGTGATCCTTCCGCTTCAGCCTTCCAAGTAGTTGGAACTACAGGCACACGCTACCATGCTAGGCTAATTTTTTGATTTATTGTAGAGATGAGGTCTTGCCGAGTTGCCCAGGCAGGTCTCGAACCTGCGGGCTCAAGAAATCCACTCAACTCAGCCTCCCAAAGTGCGGGATTACAGGCTGAGCCACCGAGCCCGGCTACTGAGCCTTATTTATTTATGCAATATATTACAGGAGAGTCAAAGAAGACTGAAATAATGGTCAGATAAACATATAATGAAAGGAGGGGTAAGGCAAAGACATGGCCATATAAAACTTAAAATTTAGTTCTGTAAGATGTGTATGTAATAGACTAAGTTAGAAAGCCAAATGTCATGCTAGTGAAAGAGTGATTTAAAAACCACAGAAAATGAAGACATATTAACAGCTAAACTCTGAGTGATAAAAATGATTTTTAAATTGCAACATTATTGCCAAAATATAGACATTTATATCTTAGTTTTCCACTATACTTTATCTTGAAGAACACTATTATGGCTAGTTAACAAATTTAAACTTTAAAATAAGATAATTGTGCTCAGTTATAAATATTAATTGAGCTCAGTATTAAAGCTATTTATGATTGTCTTTAAATAATATTAAAATAAATTCTAGAGGGGGAAATAGCTTTTAAATAACAAATGAAAGATGATGTCAAGTTTACTCAAAATTGTTCTGTATTGCCATTTTTTATAAAAATTGAGATCTACTTTTTCTGAACTCATCAGCTATCAACATTTTTATCTGTATATCAATTAGATTCATTCAGACATAGGCACACTCAAAACGACAAAATTCCCAACAAGGAAGGTCATAGATGATGCCTTCTATGAGGTGAAAAAGTATTGGTATGGGGCACCCTGATGGGTAATATCCAGTTAACTTTTTGACATATTCCAAGTATATAGCACTTCAGAGGGCGTTTCACAATTAATTAGACAAGATGGCATTCTATTTTAGCAAGGGTTTTGTGCACTTCATTATACAAAGAAGTAACCAGCTGATAATGATAAATACCCTTCAAAGAAGAAAGGCCAAAAATTGGCCTTTCTGTGCAAGTGGAAAAGAGCCAGTTTCTTGCAGTTATACTATTTCACAGCTGAAAGAGATTATCGGCAACCTTTTTTAGATACAACAAAATGAGCAATTTTCAGGTATATAAGCCAGAAGAAAGACTACAGAGAAAGGCTAACCAATAACATACAATAAGCTTATTGAGAACAAACCGTAAATATTTCCCCATAAACAATCATCAAAGATCTATCATCAAAGGAACTTACCTGATCTACTATCCAGAGGTCCAAAATCCAAAGAATATTTCACGACGTGATAGTTATTCCATACATAAAGTAGGTTGTCCCTGGGGTTGTAATCCACAGCTGCAATGTACTGGTACGAATTGGGAAAGGGTACATCCACCAAACTATCCTTGCTTTGGTCGGTGTTGTAAATGTAGTCAATCTTATTCCCAGTGGCCTCATTGTCATCATCCTCATATACAGATTTGACCACATACAGAATTCCACAAATCATAAATGCATTGGAAGCTGACCTTTTATCATATGCAGTATCCCATGTCCCTTCAATCCGTAGGGTGTAAGGGTTCAATTGACTAATGACAATTTTACCATTATTTTGCTCTGTTGCGTAGATTACCCATAGCCCATTCTCATCAACTGCCAAGTCTATGTCAGATTTGCCTCCCCATCGGTAAGGAGAGGTGTCATGATAATTGGCATTTGCTATGATAGCCTCTCCACTCTTTATCCTAGTCCGCAAATCAAACTTTACTATGTTCCTGGTGCGCTCTTTGTTGAAGAACAAAGCTCCATCATACACTACAAATCCTGTGCCATCCACCCTATGAGGGAGCTTGTAGGTTGTAGTTGGCCTTCCAGCAATGAAGTCATCCTTGGATGAATATTCAGTCAAGGTATCAGTTCTGTAGGGGGTCCAGGGCATATAATAAATCTTGTCAGAAGCCTGCAGCGGGTCTTTGCACCATGCCCCAGATTGGTGGTCGGACTCAAACAAATGTTCACTCTGGTATACTCCTTTTAGCAGTCCAGGACAAAGAAAAACTGTTGGAAGGGAAAGAGTTAAAATAATAAATATATTAATTAATATTTTGTCATACATTTTTATTTTTCACCAAATGAAGTACAACTCTAACAAGAGATACCACCACCACTTATTTTGCTGAAGTCTTATGAGAACACAAAATATTCTTCCACATTAATTCTGGCTTTCTTTCAAAATCATCTTGACTTTGTTTAATAAAATATTTAACTTTTTTAGGTGCTTTCCTGTGATTTTTACCATGAAAACAGGTGTTATAATATTTTGGATATTTATCAGATGTGACATATGTCTATGTATTCTATAGACATATAACAAATACAAAAGTTATACACAATGTTTTCAGTAGTTCACTGAAGAACATATCTTATTTTGAAATAAAAATATATTGTTTCCACTCTGATGAAGTTAGCTATTCAAGTTATCATTAAGAAACAGATGGATATCCCATAGTAATTTTTTTTAAATAAAGAAAAAGAAAAGCCCTGTAATACAGTCTGCTGAATCTTCTAGCAATAAAGTTCTCAAAGCTGCTACAACACACACAGAGCATGCAACCCACACAATTAAAAATGAGTGATGGATGGATACTGGAAGGAAAAAGAGAAAGGAAGAATAAGAAAGGAAAGAAGGAACAAAGAAAGAAGAAAGGGTGATAGGTTACAGAAAAGGACCCAAGATCTAGATTTTAATCAGTTAAAAATGTCCTGTTAAATACAGTAGTATTGGAACTTAAAAACATGTACCTTTTACTGTTACATGAGTAGAGCATTAAAAAACAAGATTACTTGCTATAATATTTTGCTGCTCATACTTCAGAATGAAATGGGCAGAAATCATCTGATTTGCTTGAGTTTTAGGATAATTCAGTAGTACACTGTGTGAGTAGTGGTAAGAAAATTTGGTTTATTCTTCGGTAATGAGGAGACTATCAAGCAATGTTTCCCAAAGGGTGGTCCTTGAAACACCTGTTTCAAGAGGCATAACTAGAAGTAACACAAAAAGAAAAAAGAGATCTTCAGCCACATGTTTAAGAAATATTATATTAAATATAATTGTGGCAGAAATTCTAATAGCTTAGATACTTCAGTGAATCTCCAAGGTAAAAGTGGGGAAAGCAAACAAATTTCATAAACTAATTGTATGAAGGATTCTTTTATAGAGAGCTTCTTTGGAGTGTGGAGTTGGGCTGAACCTGCTATGGGAAACACTGCTCTAATATACTTGCAAAGCAAACACACCGGAAAATAAACATGCAGTTCACTGTTATGTTTGAAATGATTAGAAGTGTACTGGGTGGAGACATTAGAAAATCACAGAATTTGGATGTTGACCCATTCTTTTAATGATTAAAGGATTATTCTTTTGGCATTAGTGATTAGCTTTTTATCTGCAACTATAAGCGTAGATCCAATGAAAAATAATCTAAGATGAAACTCAGCTAGGTTTTGGAGATTATTGACAAGAAAATTACTTTCCTAACATGCCCCAAAATTTATGTTTGAAGAAATGAAAAGTCTGAGGGGGAAGCTGACTACCCAAATCTTCCATAGCAAGGATAGCAGGCCATTGTCAATTTATTATCAATAGTAATATTGAAAGAATGATTATAAGAATTTCTCAGGATTTTTAATATGGTTGCTATGATTATATTGCAGAGGTATCCACTGCTGTCAAAATTGTATATAACATTTATGCTACAGTTAATAATCAGAAATTTAGGGTACTTCAGAAAACTATCTCCCCTTTCCCCTCAATCGTTAAAAATTACTGGAATGGAGAGACCACACCAGAGCTATGGAAAATTATCTAGTATAGAAATGCAAACAAATCTAAAGCAATCACTATCCATCACCATCTACTGGATTTCTCACTACTTAAATATAAAGAGGAATAAAACATACTCTTGAAAATTTTACACTATTAAACTATTTTAGGGTAAAAGGATCAAACTGGCACTGGTCAGTAATACAGATTAAGTGAAGCTGAGCAGCAGAAGTAGTAAATAAATTTTCATAAAGTAGATAAGAATTAATAACAGAATTATTTTAACTAATTGTTAAACTGTTAAATAACTTAGCCTATAAATAGTATATAATTTATGAAAGGTATTTAATTACCTTTTTGTTCCACTTCTATTGGAGAGAGAGAAGTAAAGAGAGAAAGGAGAAAAGAGAATAGATTAATGGTACGGTATTGGCCAAGCACTTTTTATTCACCTCTTCCAAACTGAAAGTAAATAATTTATTTCACTCATACTTGCTTTAGTGAACAGTATATGTTTTCATAAAACCCATTTCTCTTGTACAGTTATTTAAAAGATAATCACATTATAGGCTTTAGAATATAGTACAAACTTTGGGGGAAAAGGGGCAAAATTAATCAAGTTAAGATTAAACAAACATACCATGCCAAACTACAGACATAGGAAATACAATATTTATAAGAACACCAATATTTCCATTTGAAAAGCAAGTCGGCAATTATGCACAGAATGCTTTTAAATAGTTTGCCTAGTCTCGCTTATAAATATAGTTTATACTGCTATTTAACATAATAGCTTTGCTTTTATGCATCACAAAGAATTGATCTTTTCAGAGCAACTACTCTGCAATTCACTTCCTAAGGCCCAAGATTTTTCATACCTTGTTAGTCTGATGAGAAACATACCTTATGGGACTACATTTTAACTTGCAATGTTCTTACCCTGAATAACTGGATTAAGAATTCTCATGCAAAATGCTTTTCTCCTCCCCATTCATCAATATTTGATATTACTGTGGAAAAATACTGTGTTTCAGAAAAATCTATTATCAGAAAGTTTACATAAAGAGCTACCAGCTTTGGCCTTTTCTGAAATTCTATCTGAGTCAACAAACACTTGTAAAAATAAACTCAGATTTTCAAATATGTTATGTTTATGTCTGTCAAGTTAGATTCTATTATTATTTTTAAGGCATGGATCAATACAAGTCAGTACAAACTTTGGGAAATTGTAACATATACTACAAAATTCATCAAGCAGCATCTTCTTTATCTTATAAACATCTGTCTTATCAGAGACAACTTGTCTACATCTTAGCACAAAAAAAGAAACCAATGAGAAAAAAGGGGAGATGTCAGATGTTAGGGAAGAACGGGTGTATAAGTACAAACTTTTAAAAAAAATCACAGATTTCATGTGATGTAAAACTAAAGCAATTCCAGTAGAAGGGATAAACTGAGATGTTATATACAATAAATCAATTTAATACTCCAGGAAATTTTCAAAAACTTGTGAGAAATACTGTTTGAGGTAATTACATTTGGTTGAGATTTCTGTGCCCTGATCTAAATTTAACGTATTCTATTATTGTAAAAACTATATTAATTTCTCTCCAACAACTTTTTGGAAGCTTCAGATTTCTTTCCTCACTAATTTGCAAGTATTTTTAACAATACGATATGCTGTCAAAATGTATCCTCATCCTCATTTATTTATTTTTATTTATTTTTTTGAGTTGGAGTCTCACTCTGTCACTCAGACTGGAGTGCAGTGGCCGCTCCGGCCAGACCTGCTGGGCTCCTGCAATCCTTCCGCCTCAGCCTTCTAAGTAGCTGGAATTACAGGCACGCGCTACCATGCCCAGCTGATTTTTTTATTTACTGTAGAGATGAAGTCTTGCCAAGTTGCCCAGGCGGGTCTCGAACCCGCAGGCTCAGGCAATCCACTCACCTCAGCCTCCCAAAGCGTGGGATTACAGGCTGAACCACCGAGCCCGCTCTCATTTAATTTTTATTAACTAAAGTGTTCTCTGGACTGTATGACTGAACATAGGCCAGTTAAAATCTTTATCTAAAAGATGCGCTTTAGGCTTAGACGAGAATACTAACCAACCTGTTTTCAGACTGACAATTAGAAGAAGCTTATATAAACACCTTAAATAATTACTTAATCAATAGTCTCAAGTTTGAACCTGAGGTCCATTACAATGAGAGTTGAGGTTGGGGCTGGAAAGTTAACAATTTTTACTACTAAACTAGACAGAAATTATTAGAACCAATTTGGTTCCTTGAAATACATCCTTCTGAGAATTACATATTGAGGTATGTGCATTCTAAAACACAAAATGTACACTCATGGAATTTTAGTCATATTCTTTCACATAAAATTCATAGACAGTCTTAATTTTTTATTTTTTATTTTTTTGAGTTGGAGTCTCACTCTGTCGCCCAGACTGGAGCGCAGTGGCCGCTCCCGGCCACCACAGCCTCGACCTGCTGGGCACCGGCGATCCTGCCGCCTCAGCCTTCCGAGTACCTGGAATTACAGGCATGTGCTACCACGCCCGGCTGATTTTTTGATTTATTGTAGAGATGAGTTCTCGCCTGCCCAGGTGGGTCTTGAACCCACAGGCTCAGGCAATCCACTCACCTCAGCCTCCCAAAGGCGCGGGATTACAGGCTGAGCCACCGAACCCGGCTGACAGTCTTATTTATGAGTGCAAATATCATATGTATAAATTGAGTCAGAATCTCACTCTGTTGCCTGAGCAATGGGAGTGCAACGCCAATGCAATGGAACAATCGAGGCTCATCACAGTCTCAATCTCCTAGGCTTACACAATCCTTCTGCCTCAGTCTCCCAAGTGACTGGGACTACGGAAACGTGCCACTGCACTCAACGAATTAAAAAAAAAAATTGTAGAGATTAGGTCTCACTATGTTGCCCAGACTGGTCTTGAAATCCTGAGCTCAAGCAATCCTCCCACCTTAGTCTCCCAGAGCTGGGATTACAGACTTATGCCACTGTCCCTGGCCAGCAAATATCCTAACTTCTTGTGAGTGATATTTCTCTCTTCAGCAAATACTTAAGGAGAAATATAGGCTATGTGACAAAAAATATTGATAAGATATCAATGATATTCTGTAAATGCTATCCTATACTTTGGTGAGAATTTACATTTTTCTTTTCTTTCTTTCTTTCTTTTTTATTTTTTTTTGAAAGCAGGATTTACTGAGAGGACAGAAAAGCTCCAGAGTGGAAGGGGGCTTGAGGGGGTTGCCTGAATTTACATTTTTCAAAGAACCTCTTGTCTCATCTGTAATTTGGTAAAATTTTGATTTTAATTATCTGGTCCTGGTCTAATTTCAGAGTCATTGGCATAAGCTGTAGCGCAAGTAAAGCTTGCCTCTGTTATTTGCTGGTTATTCAAAATTAAGATTTATTAGGCAGTTCTGCTTTGGAGAAAATTATTATGGTCTTGCCCATGTCATGACTGGCTGTAGCTCATTTATCATTCATTTGATATTTTCAAGACTGAAATAAAACAGTCCTATAATTTAGGTTGAAACAAGCACACACAAATCATATTTCCTTATCCCAGGTTGGCAAGACTATATAATTTGTCGTTGAAAAGTTTAGCAACAGTTAGGATTAGCCAGTCATTGCTTATCATTTAATTCTGATTCCAGAAGTTTCCCTTCACATGTTGTAAAAAGTGGTGAAACAAACTCTGGTTATACTATATAAAATCATATGTGCAGTACATTATCTGTAAACTGATTTGAATATTTTAATGCTTGGAGAAGAAAGGAAAATTTATGAGAAATTTGTATCTCCAATTCAAATGTAAAACTGGAGGAGGGAAAAAGGAAAAGAAGAACAAGTCTATGGATAGTATTGTGGGTCATATTGGAAAAAAAAATTGTTGTTATAAAACAGCCCGCAATGATCTAAAAACACAGGCTAAAATACTCCTTTCCCTCCTCTCTGTAATTAGATCATGAATAAGTGAATTGAATGATGACAATTGTGCTAGGGCCTTCTTCACAATCTCCTATTTTTTAGTCTGATCCAATATCCTGAATTCTGACATTATAGCTGTCATTGTTCATTTCCAAACCTCTCTGAAACTAGTTTGTCTTCTCTTCTCTCCACACTTTTAACCCCCCAAACTATTTTTATTGTTCATTCAGCCTCTATTAATATGTTTATATATTTCCTTAAAGTGATTTCATGGTTGTCCTTTGTCAAACTTAATGTCACAGCTGTATCCTGTGGTAAGAGTAAATGGCAAATTCAAACTTCAAACTAAGGGAAATTTTATTCTGTATAAAAGAAAGAAAGAAAGGAAAAAAAACTAGCCAAAGTTTCTCCCTATTTCTCAACAGCTTATAAAATAGTTTTAGGATATTCTGTACCATATGCAGTACTTTTGAATTGCAGTCTTTAATTAGAAAAGGTATGGAACAGAGATCATATGCATACATTGCCAAGCTCTTTCAAACTGCATCACAAATTATAGAGAATTAAATGTATTGCATGTCAAAAATTTTTAATGCCATAACTAAAAACTATAAAACTGTATTTAATTCTAATGCTGTTTAAATTTTCTTCTCTTTTAAGCAGTAAATCATAGAATACATTTTCTATGTACAATGTAAATGTTGCAAGTGGGTAGTGTTATAATCTAATAATGCCTCTATATTTCTATAATATATAAATAAGAAATCACTTATGGGGAACACAAGATGGTTATAAAATATTAAATAATTTATAAATTTTTTTCATTGAGTCAGAGTCTCACTCTGTCACCCAGGCTAGAGTTCAGTGGCACGGTCACGGCCACTGCAGCCTTGACTTGCTGGGCTCAGGCAATCTTTCTGCTTGAGTCTTCCAAGTAGCTGGAACCACAGGCACGTATCACAACACCTAGTTAATTTTTTAATTTATTGTAGAGACAAGGCCTTGCCAAGTTGCCCATGGTCTTGAACCCCAGGACCCAGGTAATCCTCTGGCCTCTGTCTCCCAAAGTGCTCGAATCACAGGCGTGAGCCACCATGCCTGGCCTGTAGTACTATTTTTAACAGAATGATTTTCCTGGTTACAATGGGTTTGGACTATTAAATTATCTCTGGGGACCCGTATCATATGCCAGCTGTGCAGTAAGGGAGATAACAGAAAAGCAAGCCAAGTAAGCAATAAAAAATCAATCTTGGATGAAAATTTGCTGGTACACCATCCACAAATAAAGTCATCTATAAGGGAATCAAACATATCAAATCTGAAAATTCAAGATCTAAAATGCTTCAAAATCTGAAACTTTTTGAGCACTGACATAACGCTCAAAGAAATGCTGATTGGAGCATTTTG